TTGGAGGAGAGCGTGAGACAGTGCCAGCCAGTGAGCACTGTGTCTGCTTGGGGTTCGGGGACCCTAATGAATAGTACCTCTCCTACCCTCCTGAGTTCTGTACCAGTAAGGCACATGGAGCACAAGTCACCTTGCTACTGGTCCTAGGCTAGGTTGGAGCGACATTGGGCTCCTCAGGCTGAATGTTGGTTAGATTTTCCTGCCGGCTCATGGGCAGCAGTGGATTACTGCAGCCTCTCTTCGGGGGTTCGCTAACACTCTAGAGCTGGGAGGAGCAGAACAGAACCCACCCCTGTGGAAGATGTTGGGCACTGCGTGCCTCGTTATTCTCCCAAACCTCTCATTCTGCTAGCTCATCCCACCGCTGGGGAGGAGAAAGGGGCTGGAAGGTGGCAGGGTGCTTCAGGGAACATCCCTCCTTGTGACTCCAGAGGTGGAGGGATGAATGCTCCCCCCGGTGCCTGGCCCGCTGTGGGACTCAGGGAGTATCTGTGATGGTGACGCCGTCCACAGCACCAGATGCGTCTGTGTGGATGAACTTGAAGAGCACCAGGGTATACTGTAAATGGCTGAAGGTGGCTGATGGATAGGTATAATGTGCTTCCAGTGTTAGTTTTGAAAATCATGTGTACATAGTAAATGTATAATTGTATTTAAGCAAAGGTCTAGATGAATGTGTATGAACTAAACAGCTAAGAGTAGTTATCTGTTGAATTGTTGGGAATTTTCATTGTCTACAATATATATCTTATGTTTTTAATCACTAAGAATTTAAAAGGTATAAAAGTAAAGTAATACAGGATATAAGACTGAGTTGTATGGTCCTGATTTCATAAAATATTGGTACAGAAGAAAGACCAGAAGAAAAACGTTAACCGGGGGTAATGTGAGTGGTGGGGGTAATCTGAGTGGTAGGGTTAAAGGTAATTTTATTTTTCTTTAAGTTTTTCTCAACTAGCATAATTTACCTTTATACCTTGAAAAGATAACTAGTGAAAAGTAATTTTTGTAAGCAGGAGAAAGATTTTTTTTTAAACCAGGTTAGTGGGCCTTTCACTTAGAACAACACTCTCAGTGAATGCCACCAGACGGTGGTCATAAATGCTGTGTTACAAAGCACCCTGCAGTGGGCCACTGCTGCAGGAAGTTGTATTGCCAGACTCATTAGGACACAAGTCTCCTAGGAATAGAAATGCCTCACCTAGACTTGTGTTCAGCTTCTCATTCTTGCTTTCAGTTACTGGTGTGTGCATTCTGTTTCTTAGCACAGGGAGCATTGCATCTGAATAGTCAGGTTGTCTATTAGTGTTATTTAAGCATGGGTCCAAGTTGCTGTAACAGAGATTCAAAGATAGTGTTTCCAACAAGAAACTTGATTTCTCGTGTTCCATCTCACAGGCAGACAGGTGGCTCTGCCCCTGGAGGTCTTCTGGGAGCCTGGCTGCTCTGTGTCATGGGCATGTCACCGTGGGGTGGGAGAGAGCATGTGGAAACAGGTGGCTCGCACACCTCCCTTCCGTTCCCATCTCATTGGCTGGATCTGTCACAGGGTCACACCTAACTATAGGGGACTCTAGGAAATGGAGTCATTTGCTGGGCGGTCATGTGCCCACTAAAATTTTCAGTGGAGTTTCTATCACTCAAGGGGAGCAGGGATCTTGGGCAGTCTTCATTCTCTGCCACAGTTGACCCTCGGCCATTCTTGGTCCCACACCGGGCCATACTCAGTTACTGCCTCCAGCCCAGAGCCAGGCCCTCTGGTGGCATGTGGCTCTCTACCAGGTGCCAGTGCAGCTTCACACAGTCACATTCTAGACTCAGACAAGTCCCGGCCTCCCCGATACTGTCTCCAGCACCCAGCAAAAGAGCAGGGTGACCGCATACATGCCCATTCAGGCGGGGAAGAACCCAGACCCACAGCAGTCACTGGTCCACAGCGGTTCCCAGTGGACTTTGCAAAGGTGTTCTGAACTGGTGGCCACTAAAGCAAAACAGTCCTAGGACCCCTGACCCAGCGGAAATGAAGACCTCCATCTACCAGGACAAGTACAAGGATGCTTACAGCGGCTCTCTTCATACTAGCCCCGAATTACCAACAGCTCAGGTGTTCCCAAGAGAGAAGTGGAAAGATAAATTGTGATATATTTATACAGCAGAATGCTGTACGTCAGTGAAGAACGACCTGCTGTAACGTGCCACACAGACGACTTTCACAGGCGTAATGTGAGTGTAAGCAGACACATCGTTTTGGGGTGATGAAAATGGTCTGGAATTAGTGGTGATGGTTCTACAACTTTAGGAATAGTCTAAAAACACTGAATTGGGCATTTTAAAATGGTGAGTCTTACGGTATGTGAATTACATTTCAGTAAAAAACGGGTACACGTAGAATAGAAAGCAGACACGTAAGAGAACATACTATGTGATTTCAATTAAATGAAACTCAAAACAGGCAGGACTCACAGTAAGAGAGATGGTTCCTCTCGGAGTGGGAGCCTTTCAGGTGACAGAAATGTTCTGTGTTGACCGGGGTGGTGGTCACACAGGGGTACCTGAGAAGTTCATCAGGATGTGTGCACTTTATGCAATTTGTAGCTCGTATAAAAGAGAAAGCCGTGTGGAAAGGATGGCGTGGGGTGGCTGTAGGCCATGGGTGACCTGGTGGCACTGCTGCTGCTCCCTAGGCTGTGCCCCTCCACCCCCGGCTCTGCTGTCACAGGTGCCTCCCTGTCCTTGGCGGTGCCTCCTTGTCCTTGGCGGCCACGCTGGAAATGGGTTTTGGAGGGTGTCCCTCTGTGGCGCTGCACAGCAATCAGTGTGCTTCCCACCACTGCAGATTGGGGGCGAGAAGTGATCGTGTGGGGTTGTCTTGGATGGCGCTCCCTGGAAGTGGAGTCAGCTGAGGAGAGATCCTATGTGACACACACCTGTGGGGAAGGTAGGATTGGGCAATGGAGTCGGAACTGAGGCTGCGGCTGACCCCCTTGGAGCCCTGCAGCTGGGATGACGCTTCAGAGTTGCCCCCCGTGGAGGCCAGGGCACTTGGCTTCCCTGATTGGCCAGCACTGGCTGGGGTGTGGGAGGTGGAGTTGTGAGATGGTCCTCCAAGATCCCGGCAACTCCTCCCAGCTGCCGTGGAGGGATTTTGCGGATGTGATTAAGGTCCCGGGTCAGCTGATGTAAGGTGGGGAGATTGTCCAGGTGGGCTGACTTAAGCGTTCAAGCCCTTGGAAAGCAGGATATGCTGTAGCTGGTCGCAGAAAAGAAGTCAGAGAGGGCTTCTATGAGCTATTTCTGCTGGAAGATGTAGGTGGCCCTTAGGGGTGAGAGCAGCCTCTAGCTAACAGCCAGCAGGGAACTGATTTCTGCCAACAATCTGAATGAGTTTGGAAACAGGTTTCCCCAGAGCTGGCTGACACCCTGAGTGACCCTGAACGGGTGTCCCAGTCATACTGGACTGCAGCAGTGTGAGATGACAGATGTGTGCTGTTTTCTGCTGCTAAGTTTGTGGTAAATTGTTATCCAGCAATGGATAACTAAGAGTGGGCCTTCCCTGGGAGAGGGCATGACCTTGGGTGGGGCGGATTCCTGCCTGAAGGCAGTTCCTAGTGTGAGAATTCCAGAGCTGGAGGGAGGGCATCACTCTGAAGAGGGGAGCTGGGCACAGCACCCCAGTAACTGTGTAAGGTTAAATAAACACTGATTGAACAAGCTTTTCCAAGGTAAACACACCTGTGGAATGCAGACCACCGTGTAGATCACTAGAACCCCCAAACCCCTGTCCCCCTGTCAGTCATTATCTTCTCCCTTCGAGATCATCAGTGTCTCGATTCCCCCACCATGGATTGGTTTTGTCTGTTTTTGAACTTCATATGAATGGAATCCAATATGAACTCTGTTGTGCCTGGCTTCTTTTGCTCAACAGTACGTCTGTGAGATTCATCTGTGCTTGTGTGTGGCAGTTCTTTTTCATTGCTATATATTATTCCCTGGCAGGAGTACTCGTCAATTTATCCATTCCTCTGTTGATGGATATTTTGGTGGTTGTGAATAGTGCTGCTGTGAACATTCCAGCTGTAGATTCCTGCAGGGCAGGCTTGGTGTCACTGACTAGACGAGAGGGGTGGCTTTAGTGCACAAGTGGAGGTGTTTAAATTGGATAAAGAACAATTTAACCCATGTAATGAGGGAGGGCATGGTGTGGATACAGGCACAGGTAGTTGGTAAATATGGGAGGAAGTGGACATTATCCTCTTGTTGCTTCTATTTTCTCATTGAAATAATAAGCAAGGTTATCAGCTGAGAGGGAGGAGGGAGTGTTGGACACTTAAGAAGAGGAAGAAGCAGGAGATGGTCTTGTAGGAGAGCTAGGGGAGTGTAGAAACTGCTGGCAGCTCTCAGGGCCCTGTTAGGCAGGGGTTATAACTGTAGAGAGCTCAGTCAGCATGGATGCCAGCACGGATCAGGAAACAAACTGAATGCAACCTGAGTTGAGGTTTTCCTACGCAAGTATGATAGAGGAAGCAAAGGGCAGGGGTATTAGAATTAATATGCAAGAGAATGATTATAAAATACAATCTACAATGAATACAATCCCGTAGGCCATGGGGTCTCGGCTGGGTAAGGAGGGAAGGGAGGACACTGAAGGGATGAAGGGCAATGAAGAGGTGATAAGATAGATAAATTGGTGTTTCTTTGGAAATATGTCTTGAGCTTTGGAGTCCAAGCCATATCCCTACCCATCTGCCACCAGGCCGGTCTGTCCCCTGGAGTTGGATGTTAGAGACGGTGCCCCCAAGGAGCCTTCCCAAGTGGGAGAGGCTGGTTTGGGGTGGGGGCGAGCACTGTGGCGGCAGGGTGCTGGGCCAGGAGTGTAGGCAGAGGGAACAGTTTCCTCTCTCCCATTCCTTGGATATGTGTTTTATCCTCATCTATTCCAGCAGATTCCTTTCTTTTAGTGAAGGGGAATGATGATCTTATGCTCTTTTATTTCAGATGATGACATAGGAACTGGTGACAAGAAGGTGACTGTGGAGCCTGAATTTCTGAGGATGGAAATCTGCATAAGACAGTGTCAGAAACACTCACAGTGATGGAGCCCCCCACCTCTGAGTCTAGGGGGTGCCCTGAACTCAGACTAGGGGTGCTGTTGGGAAACCCAGAAGGGCAGAGCCTGCAGAGCTCCCCCTCCCAGGAGGGAGGTTTCAAGCAGGTGACAGTTACCCATTGGAAGATCCAAACAAGAGAGGCAGCCCAGGCGGGCAGTATATCAGGCGGAGGCCCAGTTCTGAGATCTAACCTGCTCATACTTGAAAGAGAGCTTGTAGAAGGGGAGGCCCACCCATGTGAGACTTGTGGCAAAAGCTTCCCATTTAATTCGGACCTAATTGGACATCAGATTTCTCATACTGGGGAGAAACTTTACAAATGTGATCAATGTGGGAGAGGCTTCAGCCAGAGCTCCCACCTTGCTGAGCATCAGAGAGTTCACACTGGAGAGAGACTCTATGTGTGTAACGTGTGTGGGAAAGATTTCATTCACTATGCAGATCTTACTGAGCATCAGAGTGCACATGCAGGGGAAAAGCCATTCAAATGTGCGCAGTGTGGGAAAACATTCTGTCACAGCTCAGACCTGATTCGACACCAGCGAGTTCATACCCGAGAGAGACCTTTTGAATGCAAAGAGTGTGGGAAAGGCTTCAGTCAGAGCTCACTACTTATTCGACATCAGAGAATTCACACAGGAGAAAGACCCTATGAATGTAATGAATGTGGAAAATCCTTCATCAGGAGCTCAAGCCTTATTCGACATTATCAGATCCACACAGAAGTGAAACAGTATGAGTGTAAGGAATGTGGGAAGGCCTTCCGTCATCGCTCAGACCTCATCGAACATCAGAGAATTCACACTGGAGAGAGGCCCTTTGAATGTAACGAATGTGGAAAAGCCTTTATTCGGAGTTCAAAGCTTATTCAGCATCAGAGAATCCATACTGGAGAAAGGCCTTATGTATGCAATGAGTGTGGAAAGCGTTTCAGCCAGACATCAAACTTTACTCAGCATCAGAGAATTCACACTGGAGAGAAACTCTATGAATGTAATGAATGTGGCAAAGCTTTCTTTCTGAGTTCATACCTTATTCGACACCAGAAAATCCACACTGGGGAGAGGGTATATGAATGTAAGGAATGTGGGAAAGCCTTTCTCCAGAAAGCGCATCTCACGGAACATCAGAAGATCCACACTGGGGACAGGCCCTTTGAATGTAAAGACTGTGGGAAAGCTTTCATTCAGAGCTCCAAGCTTCTTCTGCATCAGATTATTCATACTGGAGAAAAGCCCTATGTATGTAGTTATTGTGGGAAAGGCTTTATTCAGAGGTCGAACTTCCTTCAACACCAGAAAATTCATGCTGAAGAGAAACTCTATGAATGTAGTCAGTATGGGAAAGATTTCAACTCAACCCCAAACTTTAAAAATAATCAAGGTATTCACCAAGAGGGACTTCCCTTGAGTAAGAACCCCATACATTTGGGTGAGAAGTCTGTAGGTCAGGGAGAACATACAGATAACTTATGAATTGATTATTTTCCAACTCAATGAGTGATGTTTGGAAGTGAGTGGCATGAGTCCTAATTCATGTGGCTTTGGATGTGTCAGCATTTCCTGAAGTCACAGGTGGGGCCGCTTTAGGAGTGGGCTACCACCTACCACTTTGCAGCAGTGCTGGACTGCTGTCCTCCTCAGCTAGGAACACGTATGCGCAGGAGAGCTACAAGACTGGACACCTGACTCTGAGCTGGAACAATGTGGGGGGAGGAGCTAGGTCTCCAGGTTTCTATATTTTATTGCACAATTACAATTCACCCCTGAGTTAAATCCCTTTTAAAGCAGAACTGCGTACAGGTGTACCTCAGAGATATTGCAGGTTCCATTCCAGACCACTGCAATAAAGCGAATTGCAATAAAGCAAGTCACACAAATTTTTTGGTTTCCCAGTGCATATAAAAGTTACGTTTACACTATACTGTAGTCTATTAGGTGTGCGTTATGTCTAAAAAAAACAATGTACATACCTTAAATTAGAAAATATTGCTAAAAAATTCTAACCATCATCTGAGCCTTCAGTGAGTCATAATATTTTAGTTGGTGGAGGGTCTTGTAGAAAACACGGTATCTGTGACACAGTAAAGTGAAGTGCAATAGAATGAGGTATGCCTGTAACTAACCTTACTACTTAAAAGAATTTTCTGTAGCAAATTTTGATCAAAAAGGCACGTTGGAGAAAGACAAGTTTCTTATTTAAAACCACAGATTGGTTCCCTGTTGTCCTTAGCGTAAATTCCAAGCTCCCTGCCCTGCATCCAAAGGCCTTCTGCTTCCTGGAGCCTCGTCCCCCACCACTTAGCTCCCTGCTATCTAGTTGTCTCTGCCGCAGCACTCACTGCCGCATGTGCCCACTTACCCAGCTCTGCCTGCTGCATACCTTTGTCCTCTCTTTACCTGGCTAAGTCCTCATCACCAGTCAGGACCCATCTCAGGCATCATGCCAGACTCAGCCAGCTATCCCTCTGTGCTGCTGCTGCTAGTGCTCACCTGTTACTGCACTTAAAACTTTGATCAGTTATGTTTTTATATACTCTCTTTCATTGTTACACTGTTAATTCCTTAAGGACAGCGATCATTATCTGATTATGTGTCCCTGGCGTCTGGCGCAGTGCAATAAAAAGCACACCCCAAATCTGTGTAATTGGCAACTCTCTTGCTTTGTCCTTTCTATATTGCTATTTTTAAAATTTTTGTATTTTTGTTTTGTGTAATCAGTATAATTTACTGGTCTACTGGAAATATCTCCTCTCTTAGCCCTGTTGATGTCTTCTGCTTGTACTCAGAAGTTGCAGGCAATAGCCAGTATAAGACTAGCACCCCTCATATTTATTGCCTTTAGAGCTCACCCATGACTGTCCACTTGCTTTTGGAGAGCAGTGTCTACACTTAATTGTGTATTTTTCTAATTCACTCAAGGGGCACACAACTCCAGGGCACTACACAACTTTTTTGTCTTAGCAGTTCCATGATTGAACTCAACAATCTGGTCATTTTCCCTGCTCTCCCTTGATTTTGTCATTTATTTGAAAATGTATTGATACCTATAAGGACCAGTGGTAAATAATGGGAGAACAGAGATGAGTAAGACACCAACCCTTCTGAAGTTGTCCAAAATCTGATGGGGAAGACAGAAAGATCACGGTGCACAGAGTGAAGTGTTGAAATGGAAGCGTGTTCCTGGTTGTGTAGGAGCATAGGTAAGGAGGTGACTGATTTGTCATGGAGGGTCTGGGAAGGCTTCATGAAAGAGTTGACATTTGAACTGGTCTACAGAGAAAAGTGGACATTTGTCAGCTAGAGAAGAGAAGAAAGAATGATCTGGAAGAGGGAAGCCGTGCAGAAACGGAGGCATGACCAATTTCTCTTAGGCAGGGCGGTTCAAAAGCAGGCAGTGATTACACAGTGATCACTGTCTAGCAAAACTATTGTTGCCTCTGAATTTCTTTTATCTGAACATTAACCAAAACAACCAGTTTGCAAACAATATAAAACAATTTTTTGCCCATGAGGGCATGTTTTGAGTTTAACAAATTCCAGCAACCCTAGAAGCCTTGAGGGGGTAAATAATTTAAAAACAGCATACAGTACTCCATCTTCTGGAAAACTCACCATTACTAAAGATGTTTCAAATGGCACAGAAACAGATATTACCAGGCCATTTTAATCAACTTTGTTGAGGTCCAATTTCCATACAGTAAAACACCTATCTTAAGTGTACAGAGTTTTGACAAATCCATACACATGTGTAACCACCATCACAATCAAGGAAAATATTTCTGTTACCCCAAAATGTTCCCTTTTGCCCTTTCCCCATTAGTTCCACCACATCCCCGAGTAACAACCTTCCATCCGTGTAGATGAGCTTTGCTTGTTCCAGGTCTTCATATCAATGGGTTCATGTAGTATGTTCTCTCGTGTGTCTGCTTCTTTCTCTTTGGCATGTTTTAAAGACTCAACCAAGTAGTTATGTGTTTCAGTAGCTCTTTCTCTCCTGAGTAGTATTCCATTGTATAGATTAGCCATCATTTGTTATTCATTCATCTGTTGATGGAAATTTGAGTTTCCAGTTTTGGCTCTTGTGAATAAAACTGCTGCGAGCATTTGTGTAACAGTATTTATTTGGACATGCCTCTTTATTTTTCTTGGGTAAATGCCTGGGAATTTAATTGCTGGGTTATAAGTACGTTTTTAGCTTTATAATAAATTGCCAAGAAGTTCTCGATAGTGGTTGTACCATTTTACACTCCTGCCACAGTGTGTCAAGGTTCTATTGTTCTGCGTCCTTGTCAGCACTTAGTATTGTCACTCTTCTAAAATTTAATCCATTCTAGTGATGTATAACGATGTCTCTTTGTGCTTCTGATTTGTATTTGCCTGCTGAATTATGACATTGAGCATCTTTTCATGTGCATGTTGCCTTTCTGTATTATCTTTTTTGATGTGTCTATTCACATCTTTTGCCCATTTTTAAATTGGGTGGTTTGTCTTCTTGTTATTGACTTGTAAGAGTCTTTTCTATATTCTAGATGAAAGTGTCTTTCCAAATATATATTTATCATGAATACTTTCTTTTAGTCTTTGGCTTGCCTTTTCATTTTCTTAATGGTGTTTTTTGAAGGTCAGATTAAAGAAAATCATTATTAAGTCTAATTTACCAGAAATTTTTATAGTCTATGCTTTTTGAGGTCTGTCTAGGTTTTTAAAAAGCTATTTTCCAATTTTTATTGCTGGTGTGTAGAAATACATTTGATTTTTGTATGTTGACCTTTTATCTCGCAACCTACATGAATTCACTTATTAGTTCCAGTAGATTTTTTCTAGACTCTTTAGCATTTTCTATGTAGATAATCATGTTATCTGCAAAAAAGGAATTTTACTTCTTCCTTTCCAATTTATATAGACTTGGTACTTTTTCTTGTTTTATCGCACTGACTAGGGAGTCTTGTATACTTTTTATTAGAAGTGGTGAGAAGACATTCTTGTTTTGTTTTGCCATCAGGGTAATGTTTTCAGAGTCATGATTGATTCTACCTACATCTATTTTCTGAAGTTGTGTAATAATAATAAATATTAATAGTATAATATTAATTTATTATTATTATTTCTTCCTTAAATGTTTGATAGATTTCACCAGTGAAATCCTGGGAATTTCTTTGTAGGAAAACTGCAAATTCAATTTCTATAATAGATATGAGATTTTTCTATTTTTTCTTGTGCCAATTTTGGTAACTTGTATGTTTCAAGGAATTACTTGTTTCATCTAATATATTGTTATTGGCATAAAGTTGTTAATTTTATTTTGCATCCTATTTTAGTTAATCATATTTTAAATGATGTCCCCTCTGTTCTTCCTGGTATTGCTGATCGTGTCTTCCTTCTGTCTTTCTGATCTGTGCAGCTGGAGAATTACTGTCGTCATTGGTCGTTCAAAGAAGCAGCTTTTGTTTTCTTTGATTTTCTCTATTGTTTGTTTTCCATTTCATTGAAATAGAATCATTTTATTTCTTTCCTTCTACTTGGAGCTAACTTTCCCTTTCCTTTTCTAGCTTATTAAAGTGGAAGCTTAGGTCATTTATTTTAGACCTTTCTTCTTTTCTGATACAAACATTTAAAGCCAACAGTTTTTCTCTAAACACTGCTTTAGCTGCATTTCGTAAGTTTTGACATGTTATGTTTTCGTTATAATTCAGTAAAAAGTATTTTCTCATTTCTCTTGTGATTTCTTCTTTGACCATGACTTATGTAGAAGTCTGTTGTTTAAATTCCAATTACTTGGGGCATTTTTCAGATATATTTTTATTACTGATTTCTCATTTAGTTCCATTATGGTCAGAGAACACACTCTGTACATTGTCAATTCTTTTGAATGTGAGGTTGGTTTTGTGGGCCCGATGACGGTTTACCTTGGTGTGAATGCTCTGCTTGCCCTTGAAAGGCACATGCATTCTGCTGCTGTGTGGCTGTTAGTGTTCTGTCCACATCAGTCAAGTCCAGTTGTCTGACAGGCTTGCTCATGTTTTCTATATCTTTACTGATTTTCCTTCTACTTTTCTCTCTAGTACTGAGAGAGAAGTGTTGAATTCACCAATTATAATTGTGTGCCAGTTAGAACATATATTTAGTGTATTTGTCTATTCCTCCTTCAGTTTGTCACCTTCTATTTATGTATTTTGCAGCTCTGTTTTTGGGTGCATAAACATTTAGATTTCTTATGTTTTCTTGATGGCATTTTTGTCATTTAAAAGTATCTATCTTTATCTCTGGTGTTTTTTTAAAACTTGAAATCTACTTTGTCCAATATTAATATAGCCATTATAGGTTTATAATTAGTGTTTCCGTGGTATAATTTTTCTTTTTCTTTTAATCTCTGTATGTCAGTTATTTAAAGTGTATTTCTTGTAAAAGGTTTATAATTGTTTTTTTTTTTTTTTTTTTTGGTGAGGAAGATTGTTGCTGAGCTAATGTCTGTGCCAGTCTTTCTCCATTCTGCATGTGGGATGCCACCACAGCATGGCTTGACGAGCAGTGTGTAGGGATCCAAACCCACAAACCCACTGATGCAGAGCACCTAGACTCAACAACTATGCCACCAGGCTGGCCCCTGGGCTTGCTTTTTTTATCCAGTCTGATAAACTGCCTTTTAACTGGAGAGTTTAGTCTGTTTACATTTAATAGTGATAAGGCTGACCTGAAATCTCCTATCCTGCTGCTTGTTTTCTGTGTCCCATGTGTCCTTTGTCCCCATTTTCCTGCCTTTTTTGGGGGTGAGTTTTTAGTGCTCCATTTTATCTTCTCTGTTTTCTTATTTGCTGCACCTATTTGTTTAGTTTGTTCGTTCCTCTGTTTTACAACGTCTGTCTTTAAC